GTTCTATGAGGGGATATGCTACACAGGTAGAGAGGACTTTTGACTTCCACCTCAGCTATCCTATGACTGCGATGCTTCATCTGATCAGCAGGCTATTGGGGAGAGAGAGAGAGAGAGAGAGAGAGAGAGAGAGAGAGAGAGAGAGAGAGAGAGAGAACAGCAATCAATCATACACCTTACGGATTCACTGAGCGGATAGTGATTATTGGTGTCTGTTTTCGTGTCAGGGGAGCTTATACCAGTGCAGGAGAGCTTACAGTGGGAGGAATGGTGACAGTCATCACACATCTTACAGATTGACAGCGAGAACAGTGGTTATGGCGATCAGGGTGATTGCCATGGCCGAGGAGCTATTAGATGAGATACTGAGCTTGGTTATGATTTGCTGGTTGTGGTTTTAGCTTTCCGGCGCAGTAAACTGTTCTGATGTGCAGCAGATGTGATGGCTGGGCTCAGTGCAGGCASCAATTTGTTGGTACACACTTTAATCASTGTTGTCACATGTGATGTGGTGAGGAATTGGGGCATGGTGGTCATGGGAGTTTCAGGGGAAGGGGTGTGATGTTTTTTTGCGTGCGGGAGGATAGCTTGCAGCAATTGCGACAAACAGAAGAGCCGGCATGCGGAAACTGAGATGGACAGGAGTGAATTATTTAGTCTTCTTCTAGGTTTTTGGATCGGACGTCCGGGACCCCCCTGACCGTCCGGGATGTCCGACCGGGATGTCCGACCGGACGTCTGGTCGGACGTCCGACCGGACAGGATATGTCCGACCTAGCGCAAAAAAAAAAACAAAAAAAAAACAAAGTTCTCTGAAAATTCTGAAAAAAATATATGTTATGTAACATAACAATACAAGCAACTTTTGCCTTGGAGTCATGTTCAAATTCGCATCCAATCATGAGTTAAAAATCAAAAACCGAAAATAAAATAATTTATGTTTTTTTCCAAAAAAACAATTGTTTTTCCGGACGACGGGGGTACCGGACGAATGGGGAGACATCCGGGGGAGACGACCGGCCCCCGGACCATTGGTAACCTAGGTCTTCTTTGATTTTCTCTTTTCTGTTCTTTTTTTTTTTTCCCCCTCTTTTTATAAGACTGCATACAGCAGTCAAGAGCAGCAGCAAAAATTTCTCTCTTTCAAAAAAAGAAAAAAAGAAAAAACAAAACAACAAAAAGGAGAACGACGCAACAGTAGCAAACAGCATTCGATTGAGAGTCTGAATCTAGATGTCTTTTATGAAGAGATGTAGGGACGCCAATCAATCGCAATTTCGCGCATCTATCCGCAGAAGCGTCCAGATTCAGGCGATAGATCCAGCCCTCTTTGCTAGTAGGACCTCGCCCCAGCAGTCTGAAATGTTGAAGAAAAATCAAGGAGGGGGGAGAGGGGTGGGGGCCACGGTTGGTGTTTTTCTTGGGGGGGTTCGGAGAGCCGCGAGCGGGGACCGGGGTGAAGATGCGACAGAGGAAAACAACGGGGGAAGATCATTGAAAAAAGGAAATCGAGGCAGCAATTTGTTGGTACACACTTTAATGATTTAATGAGTGTTGTCACACGTGATGTGG